GTATACGATTAATGTGTACGAATATATGCGTATTTTTTTTATCTTTATCGCAGGTTAGTTTCACTGAGTCGCGAGTTTTTTTTATCATTCGTTTTCTATTCTCTTTTTTGCTCTTTATCGCTATCTCTCTCACTTCACTTCTCTTGTGTAGTTGTAGTATTTCTCTAAAAAAAAATACATTGAAAATGTTATGAACAAAGTGACAAAATAGTCTTAGGTGTGCGGCAAGAACGAGTGATCTCGAAACGTGGCGAACGGCTAACAGAAAAGTGTTAGATATTTTATCGCCATGAATTGAAACCTGCAAAAATATTTCGCATACATTTCGATGACTACATTTCAATTGACCGGCTTTTGCATCGACGCAATTTTCCACTTGACTATTCAATTGTTGGTATTGAAAACGTTGGATTTTGTGCTCAGTTTTAAATGAAAACGATTTTTTTTGAGTTGTATTAACACTCTATCCGTGTGTGTAGTGACGATTGCTTAAGTGCATCCAATCAGATTTGAATTATCCAATGAACAAGTCGACTTGTTGATTTGCAAACGGTGTATTTCGTGCATCATTTTGGTGCATTCGTCGAACTTTTAGTTGCGTTAGTTTCAGATGCAAACAGGCACACATCTGCTTAACCTCTTTTTGTTTTAAGAGAGAACGAAAAAAAGAAGAAGAAAAAGATGTGAGTGTGTATTCTTATTTGTTGGATTCATTATTTGTTACAATTACCGTCATTTCATTGTGATGCGCGATATTTTTCTCATTTTGGTTGTTCATTTGTATCTTGTTATGCCGCAATAATTTTACATTTTAAATTTTTGTTGTAACATCGTTGAGTTGACTACGAATACCATCAAACGGAAACATGCTAAGACACGCGTATAAAAGTCCAAACTTACCTTTGCAACAAACAATCGGAATTGCTGCTGCCATTCTCTTTTCGATTTCTATTCTTACAATTATTGCAGCACACATGCAAACACACACACATACATCCATACAAATACATTTTCACACAAAAGAAGACAGCAAAGTTTGCGAGCGCTACTGCAATATCGCAATAGAAATAGTGTACAAAAAGCACTTGCATCAACAACAAAACCAAAAACAAAAACTACAACTGCAACTGAGAAACGAACAAATGCGCGGTAAATAGTGAAGAGAAGCAGAAGAGAGAGAGAGAGAGAGAGAGAGAGAAAATCAATTGACATTTTAATAATAAACATATTTGTATAATGTTATCGTTACGGTTTTCCTTTTGCTTGATTGTTTATTGTGAAAATGTTCGACGTACGGTTTTCGCCAGCAATAAACTAAGAGAAACAAAAGAAGATAGAGCATTGGAATCGAAAATATGCACACAAAATACATCTTTGTTGCACATTGTAAATGGTGTTGTCATTCACACACGTACTTCCACCATCGATGGAAGTCATAGTTGCTGTGCTCGCAATTGTTACAGCACCGAGCTACTTGTGTGTTGTGTTCTGATTTTCTGATTTTCTGGTGTCATAAAATTTATATCCATTCTTGAGTTTCAATGTGTGTTAACTGTTTCACCGCAACATGCCTATTGTTAGCTGGCTGATGAAGTAGCATTATTCTATTAAATTCAATGCAAAATTATAAGCACGACCATTTAGAACTCAGCTATTTTCGGATGGAAATGTCAACGGCAACAACAATAACAATATCAATGATAGTGAGACAATGAGGTCATATGAGGCTTTGTTTTTTTTTTCTCTTTCATTTTTTTTGCTATTTGAACGTGTACGTCTTGTACCATTGTATCGTTACTTGCAAGGTTGTCACACTAGCTGTCATGCCTTTCCTCTTAGCGTCTCTAATAAAAAGTTACGAAACAAACTGCGCAAAATAAGTGTGTCCCATTGAATTTCAATAAACGGTGAAATTGTCGAATGGTTTGGTGTGATGCAGATTAGAAACATGTACTTGAGAATAGTGTTTACGATTCAACGATGATACTTTTGCTGCAAAAGCCAACATTCTCGGTGTTAAAGTGCGTACATAAAATATCCGTTGAAGGGACACAACGATGAGAATTGTGTGTATCACAAATCCACTTGTAAGAGAATGTCAAGAGCTCCGTTGACGTACTTGAATGTTGTCCGCATCAAGTGCGTGGGCAACGGAACTCTTCGTGTAGAACATTCCGAAATGTTCATTTTATACGCTTCAAGAGAGAGAGAGAGAGAGAGAAAACTCTTAACATAAACCATACGATATTTATTCAATTCGTTTACGTTTACTATGTTCAATGTCTGTTGAATTTCCTGAATTCTTCCACTAATAGACATAACAGAAACGAAGAAAAGATGCCGGGCATGTCTTTCAAGGATGTAGCTACTTCAATTATTATTTGTTGTGCTATCGATGACGATATCAAAATATGACATTTTATTCAGAGTCACAGAGATGCTATCGTGCGCAGCATATTCAAGTGAATATCACTCAGGCCAAAAATAAATGATCATTTTACCATTGCATATTTATTTTGCTATTGCTTGCTGAACACTGAAGTTCGTTCGTGTGAACTTTATTATTTAGTTGTAGACTTTATAAGCGACCGCGAACATAAGATGTTTCAACGATAATGACCTGCATTGAAATGAAAGAACAAAAAGAAAACGTATATCGCTTTCGATAATTGCAATGGCTAACATGAGCATCAGGCATAAATTTAACTCAAGCTTTTACTCCAAAAGAATTGCACAAGTGAACAAGCGCTGAAATAAAAGAAAAACGATAAAATGAAATAAAAACAAACAGCAAATAGTGGAAAATATCACGGACAAAAAAATTAGTACATATGGTACATGGATTTTATGCTAATCAATGGCTACATATACTCTTTGCACAGTTGCAAGTTCGTTCGAATGCATTTGGTTTAAAAGCATTCAAAAATGAATGCAAAAGAGAAGCAAAAACAAAAATTATATCCAAATGTGCGCTAAACACGAACAATTGACGCGAGTTTTGTTCACTGTGAACATGTAAATATGCTATGTATCTATGTCGATGACAAAAATCGAAATGAGATAGACAAGGAGTTGAAATTCGAAATATTAGCGCATTTTAAAAATTTTTTGCGGCATACAAGAGCGACAGTAGCACGACAACGAATGAACTTTTGCAGTGCATTTGTTTTAACCAGTTTCAAATCTTGATTGTGCAATCAATTTGTCGTTTGCAGGTTTGCTACATGAAATGCGAAAAAGCGAAACAAAAAATTGCGCCAAAAAACACGAAGTCGGGCACACAGTGCATTAACATTGATAGCGCATTAAAGTTGAAGAGAGTGTGAGAGAGAGAGAGAGAGGGAGAGCGCGTGAAAGAGACATCGGCAATGCCGGAGGGAAAATAGAACAAGCCACAATAAAAACTATTGCCAATGCATCGACAGCAGACCGCCGAATACATGTTATCGACACAAGCTCGTACTGTTTTTCCATCACTTTGGCCGTATGCACTTTTTATGCGCAACCAAATTCGCCTCGAAAACAATTTGTGCCGTGGCTGTAACAAACCAGCCCAGCCAAACTGAATTTTCCAAATCATTGCGATACAACGATAAACCGTACAACATTGTGCACTTTTATTATTACTTTGTCTTCTTTGTTTTGCTACTCTTTTTTTTCATTGTCCTATTTGGCATATGTATATTTTATATAACATGTACGGTGTACACACATACGCCTTTAATTGTTTTGCAAATCGAAAACTAAAACCATAGCCAAGTCAAGCAGCGTCTCGTTCTATATGCACCGATCAATAAAGTTGGTAAAATGCATTCGAGATCATTACTTGTAAACGTGTGATGCTGCTTTACATTGTGCCTACTACAGGTAGCTGAAAAACGGGTAAACAGCTAGCAGAAAACATGAGAATCTATGTCAAAGATAAGAGCAAAAGTCACGAGCTTATGTCGGCATTGGATCTATTAAAAATTAGTGAAGAAAACAATTTCACTTTGTCGCACACCATTTCTGAAGTGAAATAACGTAATAGCAAACTAATTTCAATGGCATAAATTTGATTTTAAAATTGAATCAAAATTCCGCAGGATTATTCATTCTTTAAAATAAATTATCAAGCCAATATGGTTATATTGCAATGTTGAACATCGGGCAACTCTAGATGTTCATTGCATAAATTGCATGTTGATAATTATGACACTTCAATGAAAATTGTTGCCGCCTCGATTCCATTCTCAACAATACAACAACAATAAAAAAAATGCCAACCCAAAAATAATGAAGTGGTTAACGAGTTAAGAATTTATGGTTTTATTATCACAATCTAGAGAATTTGGGATGTAAACAAATTAGGAGGATTTTTATTACAATCGTAAATCTTATTCCAAAGAAAAACGAATCTTCGAAACCGTTTTATGGCTTGTATTTAAGTAATGCAACGTGCGCGCACAAAATCCACACAAACATTGAGAAACCAAAAATCATAGCATTAATGACGTATATTCACTGCTGTTATTGTGTATATACTTTTTTTATAGCTCTGTGGCTGACCAGAGTATAGTAAAACATGTCAGATGTGCACTCTACTGTTTTGTGCGCGCAATGGGGCCTTGTTTTAATTGTTCGATTGGTGTGGCATGAATTGAGTTTGCTTTCATTGTAATATACCTACATCAAAGAATATTTCGTTTGAATCAATTAACGCAATATTTTTTTGTTGTTCGTGGTGTGACTTTGGCTGGTTGCAAAACTGTCAGATTTGAGTCGTAAACATTTGTCTTATTTCTCAGTTTCGTCTTTGTTTTCATTATTTTTGATGCGGTAAACTATAAATCAATACATTTTTAGAACTCTAAGCTATTTTCAAGAAGAAAAGTCATTTTTTATACATTATACAGAGTCTGAAATCAAATAATTGTCTATTATTATTATTTATTTTTAAATTGACACAAAAAATATTGAATTTATTTGTATTTTTAAATGTCTTATTTATTTTGTTGCAGGTTCACGAATTATGCGATAATTTCTGTCATCGATATATAACATGCCTGAAGGGAAAAATGCCAATAGATTTAGTGATTGACGAACGGGACACCACCAAACCGCCAGAATTGGGCGGTTCTGCGAATGGTGAAGGTAGAAGTAATGCTGATTCAACATCACACACTGACGGAGCGAGTACACCAGACGTTGTGAGTACCCCCTTCGCGGGAGCACATGGTCCTTTATTGGCGAGCTACAATGCGGTGGTGCACCCATGTTCGTAGTACAATTACGACCTTCTTGCAAAAACGAAGCGGGTGCTCACAATGCCGTGGGAATATGGCCAGAACTTCGCTTGAGAACACACGCGTACACTGATCTTGTTTCGATAAAAAAAATAAAAACATAAAAATAAACAAAAAAAAAAATGCATAAAAATATTCCATAAAGGCTAATTGAAATAAATTTAAAAACAAAGAAAAAGTCATAAAAAAACAGTTACAGAAAAATAATAAGAAATTTGATTAAAGCAAACATCAAAGCACGAACATAAATCACTCATTTAAACAAAAACAACAACAACAACAAAAAAACCAAGTATTGAAAAAACATTAATACGAATGATTGACACACATTTAACACTATGGCACGCATAAGAGTGAAATGTTGAACGCGAATGTGAATTGATTGCATTTATAATGTGTTTATATATGTATATCGGCATTTGTTTGTTTGATTTCCTACTCACTTTCGAATTCCAAAACATCCACCACTGGCCTAATACAAAGCATACAAACTGAACATAAAAATTTGTTTGAGATAAAAAAAAAACCGTTTTAATAGAACAAATAACAAATGACAAACATTAAACACGAATAAACAGATTTTTCTTCATCTCAGGTACTATAAGATCACCGACCACATCCAATTTGTTCGCATATTTCAGTTCTTATACGTGTCAATATGTTTAATGTGTGCTCAGGCATTTATTTCTTTGTTGGAGTGACAGTGCGTTAATTTAGGATATTTTCTTTTGAGAAGCCAATGAACACACAAAAAAGTATTACATGAAAAATATTTTTTTTCTTTCGAAAACAAAACAATGAAAAAAAAAACGAAAAAAAATGAAATTGAAACAGATATACGTAACGAAACTTAAGAAAAATGATGCAGTAATTAATTGAAGAAAAAAAAACTAAAAAAATGAGAACAAATGAACCTTCGTTTTTGCAAGAGGCCCATATAGCAATTTAGCTCGCCAATTACTATTTTTTACAAACAAAAAAAAAACAAACAAAAACCCATATATTGATATAAAACCGCATACGAACGCATTGACACCGCACATTGCACAAATTCGTACTCACACATATAATGGTGGCACTAAGCTGAACCGCTGGCCCCAATTCTACAATATGCAGACCGACCGAAATTCTGCCGGCGCATTAATTAATTACCATTTGAAAAGTTGCTTTTAAAATCGATCGATTTTGTACCATAAATACGTAAGCGAAAGTGCTCAATCGCGTACCTATGCATTTATATCAATGTATGCATTGTAATTCTTTCTTAATTGCATGTATAAATGTATTTCCCTTTTTGTTCTTCTGATCAAGTAATTAGAATGACACATTTTTAAGAACAAAAAAAAAAGTAAATTAATTTAATTCGTAGAATAAACTTATCCATCCTATCTCTACTTATATATAACTCACACAAACACTCACACAAAACAACCTATATAATTATCATATTCTCTACTTGACACCATAAAACATGTGAGACGATGAAGTCCATTCATTTTATTCGAATTCATTACATCTTGTGGTGTGAGGTGCATTTTCGGTTGATCTATTACCGTCCACGGTCAATTACAACAGTATTTATATGAATATATATATTTGTTGCATTTGATAAGTTCCGTGCAGTACGGCACAAAATGACACCAACCGATACTTCGAATGAATGCAAAATTTGGTACAAACATGTTTCTTATTGCTGTATAACTAAACGATCTTCGTAACTCATGAGGAAAAAAAAACACACACACACACACATTCATTCATACCTTTGAACAATATCAAAACAACAACCACAAAAAATGAGAATGAAGTCACATTTCTTGTAGCTATATCTCACACAAAATTCATCACTTCTATTATCTTATCTCTTTTTGTCACCACTCCATATATCTTGCGCATACTTGGATCCTTTCCAAACCTATCGTCCCCATGATGCAATTGATCCAAATATTCGGCAGCATCCGAACAGCCCAAAGAAACAAATACGATTGAACACATTTTTTTTTTGGGGGAAAACAATCCATTGTAAAGGTGTTTTTTATATTGTGATTTTTTCCATCATGAAAATATGGCATAAATGGGTGAGATGAGAAGAAAAAAAAAACCATATGGAAGGACAATTTTTCTTGAATAATTAATTCAAGTATCATTTATAATGATAACCTGACGCGAAATCTATATACGTAACGAAAATGACTGAATGGAATGAAAAAGAATGACAAGCACATAACATAGTATTTTTTTTTCGTCTAATTATACATATATTTCATATGTTGAGATAAGAAACAAAATAAGTGGTACAAATGGAAGAAGAAGAAGAAGAAAGAATTTGTGCTCGCAACTTTTTTGTATGCTTGTGTACGATGATAATGACACAAACCCAATGTATACGATAAATTTAAATGAAATGGTTGAAGAAGAAAAACAAAAAGATTAATTGAAGCAAATTTAAACGCTAAAACACTAGCGACTTGAAACATAATTTTTCATTTCGAATTATTTTCATAAAATTTCTTGCATCAAATGAATCTTGAACAAGAATCCAATAGCGCCTAACATATTCTTCGAACATCATTTACATATAATTTTTAGTGCGTTCGATCGAATGATTAAAAAAAACCAAAAAATCCAATCCAAACGTGCTTGCAGAGTTTTTTTTCTTCGCCGATTTGCATATGAATAATATAACGAAGAATAAATTGAATAAAAAGAAAATGAAAACCAAAATTCACCAATTTGATAGTGATATTCCTTCAAATGCCAATAAAGACAATAGCACAAACAAATATACACTGATACTGAGACAAACGAAAAATTCTTTATCAGAGAGTTTTTGTCGACAATGTGACTTTGATTCCATGGTCGATTGTCATTCAGCATAAGAAAAAAAACGTACAGTTCAAACCCAATGTATACGAAACAATACTAACACGTTATTTTCTTGATTTCTTTCTTTATTTGTTTACTATTTGTGCTAACATTTAAATGTTAAGGATTCTTAAACGAAACAAATATTATATTAATAATCTAGAGATTGAGAATTTTTTAAGGTAAAACAAAATGTAAACACATTTTCTCGAAACGCAATGTGAAAAATGCATACATACAAACAGAATAATTAGTGGCAGCGAGACAAACAATTAAAAAATGAATGAAATGAATCGTGAATCTTGTGTGCATATCACAAGGCTCACACGGAATACCAAGAGCACAATGAAACAATACGCGAAAAGAGACGACGTTTTAACAAAAGAGCTATATGGGCATTTCATTTGTTGCAAACTAAATAATTTAATTTTTTTTTCTGAATAGAATCTAACATAATAATATTTGTATAATATTCAAATCTTATACTGTCAATACAAAATGTACGTATGCGATGGCATGTCAGTTGGATTTGGACACCTGCACAAACGTCATGTGTTTGGCGAAACAGAAACCAACAGAACAAACAAACACAAAACGATGCACAAATGTTCATTCGGCATTCAAATCCAACGGACATGGCAACGCATATTGCCAATAGCATCATAATACGTAATAATAATAGTACATATAATAATATATATTTTTTAATTATAGAAAAGAATAAAGTGAAATGAAACCGAAAAAAAAGTATGAACAAAGCATGAAAAATATTGAAAGAGAGAAGAAAAAAAAAACTTGGTAACATTTACAAACATCATATACGTAATGTGATTTTAAGTAGAACTGAAAGAGTTAAAACGCACTCACAAACACTCAAATATTGCAAACAAGCGAATTGCAACTTGCGAAAAAGGTCAGACAAATGATTGCAGGAGAAAGAAAAAAAATATTCAACAGAAAAGTAAATACAACAACAAGAACAGAACAACAACAAAAAAAAATCATAAAAAGGAGAAAAAAAAAATGTAATGCAAAAAAAGCGTAAGAAATTAAAATTTTAACGTCAATGTTGCTTCGTTATTTTTTAATTGTAATTGTAAATAAAATATGAAAATACCTAATCTCTAGAGAACAACAAAACAATGTGAAAATGCATACGAATACTGGATTCGATTTACACAAAGACACTACATTCTACTTTCACATCAACAGACCGCTAAACAATGATAACAATTACATGAATCAAATAAAACAGAAATCTGCAATTATTTCCAAAGTTTATAAAATAAAACGAAGCATAGATTTTTACATCGTATTCAAATATGGTCGAAAGTCATTGAAAAAAAAAATAAAATAAATAAAAACAACAGCAAAACTAAAATAAATATAAATAAAAAAGAAACCACAACTTTCAAGAAAACGGTTGAGAGCCGGGAAGCAGATTAACGAAACGGATGCGAATCGTAATCAAACTGTATTGATTTTTTCTAGCCAAAATATATGTATATGTATATAAGCCAGATGAATGATGAGACCCAATCATATGGTGTTTATCTGCCGGCTGCCCAACCAAACAATCGACCGAAGCAATGTGAAAATCCAAATGAAAAAATATTAACAGTATATTAAACAATAATAATCATTCAATGATAAATGTATATTGTGTGTTCATTGAGTTCAGTTGTAATAATTGAACCGAATGGAAAAAATATGGATTAAATTATCATTTTTTTTCGCCTTTATTCATTTTTGCGCCGCTTTTTCCAAACTCGGTTACGTTCAGTTTTTTCTACCCTTCTTTGAAATTAATTATTTACGTTTTAAATTTTTGGATCTTTTTTGAGTTTTTTTTTCCAAAGAACAGTGATTTTAAAAAAAAACGCAATCTATACACTATTATCAATAATAATTCAAAAAGTTTAATAATTTCGGAAAATTACTCGCTTTTTGCTCATTAAAAACATATTATCAATGTTTTTTTTTACATTTCTGAAAAAGCAACAACACTCTGTTCGTTCGTCAGATAAATGTATTTTTGT